CTATTCAACCAATTCTTCAAAACTAAATTCTCATAAATCCTGTGAACCGATCCAAATATAGTTACGACGGTAATAACGACAGAACAATGAACTTTCCTTGTCTTACATGAACTGCATGAATTAGAACCTCGACAGGCGTATATCTTCATCATTGGTTATTCTTTAAGCGAGTCATCTAATTATTATATCAGTGCTCATCTACTTTGAAATAGTATAAAGAGGAATACTCTCAAGACTTCCATAAACCGGATCCTCTTTCGGTATAAATTAAGTTCTCTAATAAAAAAGGATTTTAACTTATATCGTTGCCCTTTTATATTTTTAATTGATTATACTTTTGAACCTGTTGTGCCATCACAACATTATCAATAAATATTTGTAGTAATCGTTACTCAGTTAGGAATTCTTCCATATATGACCTATCATATGTGAACTTACTCTTAGGGCGCCGTTACAATATCCATATGAAACGTCTGTGCTCTAACTTCCAGGACAACGGTTCTTTATTCGACAAGACATTGTCAGATCATGTATCACCTCATCCACAAGGCACCTCGAACATACATCGAACCAATAGTTAATACTCACATATACAAATGGAAAATGATGGATTTATAAACATACAATGGAATGATCTTGATGACGACATTAAAATGTATTATGCATTAATAGTAGAAGATATAGCAAAAGAACATGGTTGGGATATTTATAGATGTGTGAAGCAATGGGCTGCAAGGAACTTGCTTGGAGAAAGAATAAGAAGCAGAAACAAAGAAGATAAGAAAAAGAAAAAGGTAATAGAATTGATGCTTACTTTATGCTTGATGTACTAACTGCTATTCTTACCATTTAGACTAACGGACGATCAGAATATGGTAATTTACAAAATATATATGCACAAAATGATTCTTCCCCTTCCTTCCCTCTATAAAGAAAACTAAAAAATAAAAATCCACGATTATGCGTGAATGATTCACGGTTTTTCTATTTTTAACAAAGGCTCTCATGAGAAAAACTATTTAACCAGGGTATCCCTTCTTTTATTCTTTTCTTCTTTTTCTTTTTACTTCTTTGAATGATTCTAAAATGAGGTAAGGACAATTGGTATAAGTGATTCCGAATTCACAAAGAACTTCATTCAAAATGTTTCCTGTAAACAATAAAACTATTTGAATAAAGTTGTTTCTTTCTCTTTATGTCGTTTACTAGCTCTTATTTATGCTTAGAACCCTGCAGGCTTCGTTTCAAGTAAATGACAATAATTGAATTACTTTATGGTAAACAATAAAACAAATTACTGACTTGACTAACTTTCCTTTTCTTTTAAATAGACTTAAAAGCTTCGATAAAGGGCTCACTTGTGGTAAAAGAAATAAACTCCTTGGCTATGGTTGCTAGCATTTCTTACAATTAAGCGTCTATTGCTTTGTTTAAAGTAAATCACAAGTTGCTCATTGAACTTTCTAGTAAAAATAACTTTTTCTCTTCTGTTTTAAACTAACTCTTCTTTCTACTTTAGTGCTTAAGGAAGCGGGTTGAAGTGCTTTTGGTGTTCCTTCTTTGGCTTCTTGGTACAAATGTAATGGAGTGTGCACTATAATGACTAATTGTTTCTCCTAGATTCTTATTGCATTTGTCAACTAATACTTTCTGTTGTACTTGGTATAAAGAAACACTTGTTCTAAAATACTCTTCTTCTAACTTTTATATAGTTTGGCTGCTCTTTGGTGTTTACTGGTAATGGAGCCTCTCATTCATTTGAAATGAAGAAAAAAGAAATGCTGTCTGATAATCTCTCCAAGTAAGTGCGGACCTTTTTATTTCTTTTTTATTCCTTTGGCTTTCTCCTTTTCCCTTTGTTGTTCTTCCTGTTGTCCTTCTACCTTCGGAGTCAAGATGCTTCTTCATTTAATTTCCTTTTGTTTCTCCATTTATTTTTATTTCAAGATTCCTTTCCTTT